ATCCTTACTAATATTATAAATGTAAATGTGAGTTTGTTTGTTTTTTACCTTATAGCTCTTTAACGGCTTAACCAATCGTTTTGAAATTTGGTACACACGTATTACACGGGATGGAGGAGACTATAGGCTAATTTTTATTACGGTCAATAATAATATTCCTGTCATGCGGACGAAGTCGAGTGTAAAAGCTAGTAATTAATAGTGCTCATATTTTTAACAACAAATATTAATATTCATTTCACGATATTGGATACGATACGACTTATTTTGTGCATGTGAGTGTAATCCCTGAATGGAAATTGAATACGAGCACTACTTATTCAATAAATGAAAGTGCCTTGTAAAAATAAAAAGCTTAAATTTTTTCCTCGTTTTTGACCGATATTTTTACTGTGAAAATGTTTAGTTTCGTTAGTAGAACACTCCCACTATTAGATGCTATTTTAATTTCAGCCTTCCATCATCATTATCATTATCATCTTCCTATCCTTATCCCAATTATTATTTAGGGTCGGCGTTGTATGGTTTTATCCATATTACTAAAGGATTTGTCTTATAGTTTTACGACCGGCCGCCTGCCTGACGTCAACCTTCTTTGGGAAACCCTTTCATCATCATCACCATTATATTAGCCGTTAATTGTCCAATGTTGACCATCCTCCTTTTTTTATACAACTTAGAATGGCAAACAAGCTGACGGCCCACCTGATGGAAAGTGGTAACCGTCGCCTATAGACATGAGCAGTACCATGGACATAACAGAGTATACTGTTTCGCCTATGATACCCCCATGCGCTGCCATTCCTGAGGACTTAGATGTTATTTCTCTGTACCCTGTAAATTCACGCCATATCCCACCCTTCAAACCGAAACACAGCCATGCAAACACAACTGCTTCACGGTTGAAACACGAATGGGACAGAGGTACCCAAGCAATCGACTTTTGTACAAAGTCTCCCTCTCCTATTATAAGGAGAGTTTTCCCAGTAGTTGCCACGATTCATTCTTTTAGTAGCCTCTTACGACCCATGGGAAAGAAAGGGGTAGCCTATCTATACCTGGACCATACTGCGTTCACAATTTCACCCGATATAAATAAGAAACATGGATAACTGAGAAACCATAATAGACCTAATTAAGGTCTATCCAACTCCTTCAAGTTTGATTTATTGTATTTCACAAAATAAGTACTATAAACATATTATTTTCATCTATATTTGTAAGGAATGTTCTTCTACGGGAAATGTTGTATAGAAGCAGCCAAGAAATGAGATTGAACTCCGAAGTTCACTCTCATTTCTTGGCTGCGTAGCATAGTACTATTGTCCATGCATCCCACTCATATCTACCTCGTATATCTAGGTTGTGAAATGACCTTCCGTTTTCAGTTTCATCCTTAATCTGTTTCAATAAACGTGTCTATAAACATTTAAAAGACCGGCAATGCACAAGAAACTTCTCTCGTGTTATAGGTATTCATGAGCGACGCTTTATCAGGTGGATCATCCGCTTGTTTGCCTTTCCAACAATAAAAAGAGTATGTATGAAATTACATGAGTGAAAAAAATATTTTACAGATAATTATATTTTCAAATTTTTATGAGTATACCTAAAGTGCATGTGTTATGTCCATTATTGCTCATGTCTATAGGCGCGGTTACCACTTTTCATCAGGTGGCCCATCAGCTTGTTTGCCATTTCACGCTGCATAAAAAAAGTACCAAATATACGATGCTTCAAGATACAAATAAACAGATGTAATAGAAAAGCTTGATGGAATTACAAAGATTCTATTTAAAAAAGAGCTTTAATCACGTAACATCTTACTCCAGTACTAGAATAAAATATGTATTTATGTTACTGTATTTCACTTGAATTATTCACTTGTCAATATATATTTTTATTTATGGTACAATAAAGAGTTAAATAAATAAATAAAATCACTGATAATATCATAAAAAAAATATCAATGAATTTTGATGATCAAATTTATGAGTTACCAATACGACGGTGAAATAGGCGACAATATAAACTAATTGGAACATCAAATAACTATAATTTAGGTCAACAATTCATCTCTAGGATACTAGCGCAAAGGGACTAATCTCGTTGTACAATCATAAATTATTACTCCACTAACCGAATTATCCATATTTATAGCGGAATGAAAGTGGACAAAACCTTACTTGAATTCGTAATAGGTATTTCCTTAAAGTGGGAAAATTTATACAGACAGGTTTACAGCTTTTATAATTTTTTTATATGCAACTTAGAATGGCAAACTAGCTAACGGCCCACCTGGTGGAATGTGGTAACCGTCGCCTATAGACATGAGCAGTACCATGGACATAATAAACTGTTTCACCTATGATACCTCCTTAATAAATTATTAAGTAATAATAACCATGGGTACTGATTTATAATTATTTATATACCTTTCCACTAAATGGAATGATCTTAAAAACATTGCAATGTATCTTTATAGTGGTTTTAAGGATTTTTTTTTTATGGCCTGTCGTGATGCCAATGAGAGATATAATTTGATTGACAGTTCAAATTACCGTTGTTTAAATTTTGATACAAACTGAAATTTGTGTAATCGGAGTTCAACAATTTAAATTGCTAATTAAAAATATTTTTCCTTATTTCATGCTCATGGGTTTCTTAAACTAATCGGGCAACACCATGGATTATCATACGTGAGTAAAACCGATGATAAACCGATGATACGTGAAACCGATGATACGTGAATAAAACCGATGATGATGATGTATCATCATCATTATAATTACTAACTACATTCTGCGACTTCGATCGCAGTCATATCATCATGTGAAATAGCTTAGAACTTTTTTCAAGAAATAAGCAATCAAACGCAAAATTTTTCAAATCCGACTAATAAGTTAGTAGTTCCAGATATTAGTGTATTCTAACAAACTTTTCCGCTTTTTATATACATAATTGTATACATTTACATAATATATATTTACATAATAATTTGTATACATAATTGAACATGATTATCGGTCGTATTATTTTATTTTTTAAGAAAACTTTATACGAAGTCCACTGCATAGGTATCGCTGTCTTATTAATTCTGTCGCCAAGCAGCTTGCTTGCACGCTGTGAATTTAAATGGCGAGATAGGGCAGTTAAATGGATACTCAAGACTCAAGATCTTCATGTTTTATGACCAGTGACGCCTGTGGTGTTACAGTTTTCATCTATTTACCACGAGCTTACATTACACATGCTTGTTTGCTATCTTGTATTATACTATTTTGTATTTTATTATTGTATTATATAATTATGGTTGAAAAATAACAGTCATGAAATTAAAAAATAAAGTATTAATTTATAATATAAAAAGTACAACGTAAATAAAAAGTACAATGAAATAAATGACTCCATAGGGATGAGGATATTTGCAGTCATTCATTCGTTTTCCCTTCTAAACTTGAGTTGCCGAGAGAAATCTCTGGAGTAATTATTATGAACTTCTTGATATTATGTAACTACGTTCTATGAAAATTTCAAATGACAAATAAAAATATAAAATGTTTGCTAGATTAAATGTTTGCTACATGTAAAGTATTAAATAACTTTTTAACATTTTTTTTATATGTAATAATATTGTGATTCTGGACGGGTTTAAAGTGAAAACTTGCCTATCGCCACCTACATGCACCAACGCCTTCAGTACTTTGAAATATTTGAAATTTTTAACCAAATGTGACCTAGACAATTAAGATAAGCTCATTGTTATCAGTGATATAGAAGGAAATAGGGATCGAGAAAGTTCATCACCAACACGATGCACTGATATAGTGATCGTGCCAGCCACATGAAGTATACACAAAAGTATAAACGGATGTCTGAAGATCACACTGCTTGGAGAACAATGGTGATCCTCAGATGTTCATGACCCTCAACGACGAGAAAACGGGAGAAATATAGTCGGTTGTACTATGATTCAAGAGAACAAGGTTTTAAGAGTAAACAAAGGATTAGTAAGTTGCAAGATTAACCCTTTAATGGTTGATTTATAAGGTTTACCAATTCACAAACCCAATTTTAGAGGTTCATTTAAGTAATGCCACCAAATTGCATGCATATGTGATTAGAATCCGACCCTTTGTTTAAAAATACGAGTATTCGGGTCATTGTTATGGTTGTCAACCTGTGTTACCATTGACGTTAATTAATTAATTATTTCTGATACATTAATGTGGCAACTTTGATTTTATATTTTTAGTGACAGTTTCCATGAAAAATAGTTATTATATGTATCATCATCATCATATCAGCCATTAACTGTCCATTGTTGAATACAGACATCTCCCATAGACTGTCATAAGGAATGGCCTTGAGCTTCCTAAATTCATTGATTCCTTGCAATGCATTTGAGGGCATTGCTTATCTACTGGGGGTTCGTTCTAAACTTCGTTTACTAATATGGAATTGCCTTTCAAGAACCTTTCTTCCCGGTCAGTTGTCAGTTCTTCGAGTTATGTGACCAGCCCACCACCCGCCCAGTGCCACTTCAGCTTGCTTTTCCTTCGGGCTACGTTTACGTGTAGGCAATACCCCCGTATTACTTATACGTACGTCACTAAAATGCTATAATAAATAATATATAACCAGAAATTAGACACAGACTTATTTTAAAATAATTATTTCTTATACCTAAAGCTAAAGAATGGATTTCTCTTCTGGAGTTTGTATTTCTAGACGTCGTAAGAGGCGATTAAAAGTATAATCAAGGCTGGACAGCAGCGTCCTTTTTGAAACATCACCAAAGGCTAACTGCGGTTGTGAATACGCCTTCAAATGCAACCACTGGCAAAACTCTCCTTATAGGGAAGGCTTATGTTCAGCAGTGGACAGTCAATGGCTGATGTAATAAATACAATAATATCACAGTTTTATTTAAAAAGTTTTAATTTAATAATTAAGCACTTATTCTACTCTAATAATACAGTTTTATAGTCTATGCTATATATAAATTATTCAGCTATACTTAAATAACATTATTTGTACAGGGTTGTTGTATATAATTTAAACAGAACCCTCGGTTGTCTATATCCACAGGCGCTTCTACATTGTCTGTATGAAACCATAGACGGAAAGGTTTGACAGTACCTGAAAAAAAAGTAAAAAATTAATTAAGTACACGTATAGTTTTATTACTTATTTTACTGAGTAACTACATTATTAATTCTTTATTTACTAAAGGGAAAATTTGTATAAAAGTTGTTAAAAATTGCCACTGATTTATTTATTTTTATTTAACTCAACTTTAATGCACTAAATACTAAATACGACATGAATATTACTAGCTGTTTCACGTGACTTTATCCTCCATCATAAGTATATTAAAGTATCCTACATGCTAGGGTATTGTACCAAATTTTATTTAAATTCGTTTATCCGTTTATACATAAACAGCAAAACAAAAACAAATATTTTTGCAAACTTGGACATTTATTTAAATAAAAATCAAATGCCAAATATACGAATATGTAAACATCTCATATCAGAATGACTGTACCAATTTGACGCTTTTCTTATTGTGTTTGTAATTTTAATACTAATAACTGCTGGTTTAACTTACGTGTAATTAGATCGAGAAAGCTCGACTAGTTTCGGGATCAATTTGCATCCTTAGCAACTATAACGCGAGCGTGAGTGTGTTTGTAATTATCAGGACAAGATTTATATGAAAGAAATTATTTAAAAAAATATTACGGGGAAAAATAAAAATAAAACAAAAGAAATACTACACCCGAATGATACCTAGTCTATAATATCAATAAGATTACTACTAATTTTATTAAAATAGAGAGACATCAGGTGCAAAATATAACGTCATATATGTCCCAAAGGAAAACAAGCCCAAATTGCCAGTCGTGTATTAAGTTACATTTACGGTTGGGGAAATTAGACGAAAAAGCCTTGATGTCGCCAGCATACCGTAATAATTGACGTTAAATTAACAGTATTTTATATAAATGTTTTGTCTAGGTATTTCATTAGAGCCATTAACTGACTGATGCTGTACATAAGCCTTCCTCATAAGACGAGTTTTGTCAGTAGTTGCCACTCTTGGCAGGTGGACTGGCAACCGCACTTAGGCTTTTAGAGATGTTGGAAGAGAGACGCTGCTGCCCAGTCCTCTATTATTAAATTTAACGTATTTAAGATTATTTCTTGAGGGGCAGGGTGAACTTTTGACAAAAGTGCATATATACTCTTTGTCATAAATTTGCCCATTTCTGAAGGCTTTGCTCCTGATTTTTTGTCGGCTATCAGAGGATTCACTTCCCCCTCCCCGTCGTTCTAAAATAGTCTTACTTATAAACTTACTCAGTACAGTGGCCGGTTGCATAGATAAATCTGCAGAGAAGGTTCCACCGCAAATCCTGTCTGTGCAAAGAGCCTGTGCTGGTTGTATTCTGCCAACATTAGCAGCGCAAGGCACCAGTAGCCAATCGTTGGCGCAATTGTTCGGGCCAGCCCCCGAGCCGATCATAGCGTTCACTGGACTGTTACTGTTACCACTCAGTGTGAAGGATCGGGAGCGATTGTTGACTGAAAAGATTTTTCCAAATTCAAATATCATATTAATGTTATAAATGCGAAAGTTTATAAGGATGTATGAATGTTTGTTACTCTTCCACGCAAAAAACTGCTTAACAGATTTGAATGAAATTTGGTCTACGGATAAGTTATATCGTAACTCAGCACATAATATACCTTATATAATGATTAATAAGGGCGAATCCGCTGGATATAGCAAGTCGTTAATAAAATAGGTTTAAAATATATTTTTCAACATATCGATTTGATGAAATTCAAATCCACTATCTCTTTGTAATTTGGGCCGAGTTGGATACATATTTGTCCTATATTTACAGCATGGATTACTATCAGTACCAATCGAGTGAATCTCCTAAATTTTGTTTTTAAGGAAAATCAATATATATTGTAATATCGATAGATGGTGGCTATATCAAACGTAATTACTAGCTGGTAATAAAGAAAAATAGAAAGAATTTACTCATAGCATTATACGACTCATACAGTTGCATATATAAAAAAAACTAAGTCTAACAATATTAATTACAAACGTAAATAAAATAAATTAAAGAAAAAACTACAAAATCCAATTTTAAAAGCATCTACTATTCTCTGCTCAAATAAAGCCGCAAATGTGTGTGAAGTGACGTAGTTTTTTTTTTAGGTGAAATAATTTTTTAAATCAATTAATTTTTGTTTATACATTGCAAAGAAATAAAGTAAAATCTATCATTTTTATAATAGTAGTTTATATAAACGAGTATACCGGTGTCAGGGCAGGCAGTGTACTGGATGCCACAGAAGTTCCTCTCCATCCTGATACAGATACCGTAGTCCTGGTTACTGAGCTGAAGACCTGACGCGGGGTCGTAATTGAAAGATCGAAGTTGGCCAGAGACACCAGTATAGTATTGAAGACACCCTTCGTCCGCTAACAAACAATGGTTCCATTTAAACAGAAAATACGAAAGTCGTAATAAATAATGCTGGTTTGTAGTACAAATTATAATTATTGTGAAGATTATTATGAAAGATTTAATTTCGAAATAAGTAGTTTTTTAATCTAAAAATAGCAGCTTCATGTATACTTATAAAATCATTTGTCCTGACCAACTCACAGCCATAACATCGTTAACAAAGGACGAAACTGCTGGATACAGCTAGTCGTTAATAAAATAGAAAAAAAAAATATAAAAATACTAACTCTTGAAAGCTGAAGTTTAGAACATAAGTATATTTTATAATGTAAATATCCGCTAAAAGGAGGAACACTACACCATGCGTGCATAGTTGCATTGCATGCAGTTACACCTAGCATTACAAAATCTGTTCAAATCTGGTGATGTTAACTTGTAACATAGTCATCCTATTATTAACATAAATATTATTAATACAATTAAGAGTGAAAAATTTTAAGTATAGATGCACGTTTGTTAGTCTTTCAAGAAAATATTACTAGACGGATTTGAATGAAATTAGATGGCTAAGTTATGTCCTAATTTAGCACACAGGATACTTTAGGTAACAATTTACGCGGGTGAAGCCGCAGGATTAGAGCTAGTTAAAAATATAGACGAATTGAGAACATCTTAATTTGGAAGACATTTTAAAAGATAACCACATTATACCAAAAAGAAATTTTGTGTATAAGTTGTTCGCATGGGTCTCAACCATATTTCTGCCGTGAAGCAGTCGCTTACAGGACAATGTTTCATTTAGAAGGGTGGGATTAAATTAAAACACTATTTTACTATAACAAATTTACAAAATACGGAGACATAACACCACATTCCTTAATAATGACAATACATAAGGGGTACCATGAGCATCTGGGTACTCTGTCTATGGTGCTGTTAATATTCTTAAGCGGCAGACACTGCTTTACGATATGTAGGCTGTCAGCTTGTTTGCTATTTTAAGTATTATAAGAAAAATAAAGCGTTGGAGAGGCAATGCAGGCATGAATAGTACAGGGCTTGCATTAGATAGAATGATAACCTCAACATCGTTACAGGGAGTCGATACGTGCAAAAAACGGGATCGTGCTTTGTGGCGAAATATGAGAAAGACCATAGGCATATATGATGGATGAGGAGTCAGGGTGCAACTGTGTCCACCCCAGAATTGACTGGTGCTCACACCCACACCAGGTTTTGATCATAGCTTCACAAAGATGTTTCTGAGAGTGCATTTACGTCTTTATTAGGGGGCTAGGCTTCTCTGGAAAATAATTCTAAACATGTCAATGAGAAAGACAGAAGTTCAGCAGTAGAAAAAAGTCGGGTTGTAATTACAATGGTGCTAATTGTACCTTTGTATATGGTGTTACATGGAATTTGCGTAACTTTGAGTTTCCACATCCGTTCAAATGAATTGCCACTCGTTACAAACGTCAGTTTAACTGGATTCGTGGTACCAACACCCGCGTCTATGTACACTGGAAAAATTAAAATAAGAATTACTATAATGTTTACATTATGTGACATTATCTACAATATATGTATTACTACTATTATGTACTTGTGTCCGTTATTACAAAAGGGGAAACAGAGCATGAAAATATTAAATGACGGTCTACATCTACTGTCAGTAATGTTTACAAAGTTTTATTGTAAAGAAGAGAAAGTTAATAATTGATTGATAGCAATGAGAGTGTTGTACAGGTTGAAATATTACATTATGATATATGTATGTAATATTACTGTTTATTTCATAAATATAATTCAACAGTGATCGTTAGAAAAATGACCATAATTTAAAATTAAAAAATGAATTTAAATTAAAAAAAAATTAATCTGGGAAAGATCTACAAATGTTAAATTAGTCAAAAATAAATAAATAAACAAGTTGTGACTCATTTTTAACTATGGATTACGTCGTAATGTGTCTAGGATATATGTTCAATACTTACTATGGCTGCCCTGGTTGACACCACAGATAGCCGGAACTGGATTACCTCCTGACACAATGAACTGATCCTGATTACACACATGATTCATCTGCTCCGGGCCAGCGATAGAGAATCGATTGAAATCCAGTCTAAGGACATATGAATATTGTAATAATTATACAAGAGTCCAGGTATCCAATATATAATAATAAAATAATATTTCAATACAGTCCATTCAATATATCTTTTTTTTTTTCTTAATCGAAGTAAAATTAATTAGTCCTTCGAGCGGAGGGAAAGGGATTGTTTGTAGTGGGGTCTAACTGACCCATTGCCAGCAATATACCCTATCAGGTCGACCTCCACGTGGTTCCCCCTGGAAATCATCGTGGTTAATTTTAGTGGAATTCGTCACGATGGGCCAACTGACCTGCTTCATCTTCACATATCATTCCTAATTCATCCATTCCCGTTAGCGCAGTGTGACTACTTCATTTTCATCCATTAAAGAAAAATAGATAATAATTGATTTACCTAATTTGACAAACGTCAGGATGTGATTTGATTATCGTGAGCTCACAGGAACCAGTGCCGTCGTAAGCCGATGGGTATCCAGAATTGACGAAGTAGGTTCCATTCTCAGATGTACTACTACCACAGGACGTCATAACTGTGAAAGTATCGTGAATTAACTGGCACATTTGTTTATTAATATTAAAAGAAAGAAAGAAATAAAGAAAAGAAAGAAAATTAATGTATTTAGTGAGATATATAGACATTATAAAAGCTAACAATAAAAATACAAAAAAAAATTCGAGCCACTAAAAAAGATATTACTCTGCATCAGTCCTTACGGCTCACCGACACTGGTCTTCCGTAAGAGCCTATACAAAGAGTGCTGTTCCCAACAATGAAATTAAATAACAAGCAATAATAAGACAAATATTTGTGCTAAAATTAAGTATATAATATAAAATATATATGAGACACATGCAATATATTGATAAATGCATAATAAATGATATGGTGAATAGAAAATATTAATGAAATGTATTTTGTGATATTACAATAAATAGTTATTAATTATTCGACTGACAATAAATAGATAAAAGCCTCTGACTATCCAAAAAGAGATTACAGTACTGAATATGTATTTTTATTTATACAACTTGATGTATCATTATTTATATAAATAAATTTTTGAAAAAAGTTTAATTATATAAATGTTCTTCTTGGCTTAAATTGCATTTCGAAAGGGCGGTAATGAAAAAATGACTATTCAAAAATGATTAAATCTAAGTTACTTGAATATTTCTTTGTTTCTTATTTTTATTATCACGCTACTAAGGTTCTCGAGTTTAGCGCTTAGAGATACATTTAACAATTCATTTATGTTTAATATTTTTAGCTGTGTACTACTTTTCATTACTTTATTATTATTATTACTTACATATGCAACAAAGTCCGAAGCCATTAGCGCAGTACCCGTTTGCTGAGCCGCCCCGGGAGGAGCACTCTCTTGCCGTCATACATGTGCCGTTGTCTCCGGATGCGCCCGCGCATCCACCGTTTGGGAACGTCACCACCGTAAATAATGATAGAACTAAAAATATGTGAAGAATGTACATCATAAAAGTAGTGTGATGAGATATAGTATCAATAATTTCATGTGTCCTCTACTTTCGTAATGCATACGTAAACTACGCGCAGCAACTAATAACTCTGGGTCTCTTCCATAAGGGGGTAAAAATATAGTTAATAATTTATACATTTTAAATACTAATACATATTGCAACATAAGATTTAGTGTTAGAAGCTATGAATTGATATATTTTATATTTATAGAGACAAAATAAAATTATTTAATAACTTAATACGTAGCAAGCAGTGATGAAAATGTTCGCCATGCAACATACGGTGAAAGTTTAAATTGAGCATTGCAAGATTCTGTACAGTTTAAAGTATCATATTTGAAATACATAAATATAGTTAAGTATTTAATAACATTTAGAGAGTGCAGTTAAAATTATTAGTAACCTTTTAAGGAAACAACATATGGGTGAAATTGAACATTGTTCTCAAAGAAAAATAGGCTAAAAAGCGACAAAAAAATCTTGAGTCCAATGCAAATAAATAGCTAAGTACACCATGTTAATATAAGAGGCTAAAAAATTTTTGTCGTCTGTATAATACATATATTTTGACATCTGTTTTGATACAAACATTATTTATTACTTACACCTACTTTCCTTCTGGGCGGGAGGCCAAAACCTCGCTTCAGGATTCTGCACTTCTCGATTAGGTCTGGACACGATAGAAGACGCTCTATTCCGCTTAGGTAAAGACACTCCATTCAATATACCTCGTCCTATTATGTTTTTTGCATAATTTTTGTTATTAACTTCATTTCCCTGACAAATATTTAGTAGAACGACAAAAACGAATGCATATTTCACAATCATCGTAAACTTCTATTTTGAAACATGTGTCAACGCGTATAAAATGGATATAAATGTGACATTTCAATATATAATATATGTACAGGAAGGGGAACAATTGCATTAAATTTCTCCATTATTATAGCACACAATGCTCGTTTTGGTGACAATTTCTTTGCTTTTGTGTATATTATCCACGCATGTTACATACGCGGCAGCGGCTCGGAACGATTGTTAAATAGTTACGTCTAACGCGCGTAACATAACGTGTAAATGTTTATTTAATGTGCGTATACAGAAACAATAGAGCAACTAAACCAAAATCTTAATATTCGCTCTTAATTTTTTTTTATGTTACTTAGAATGACAAACAAGCTGACGGCCCACCTGATGGAAAGTGGTAAGCGTCGCCTATAGACATGAGCAGTACCATGGACATATAAAATGTAAGCATTGCAAAAAATTTTCTGAAAATTGAACTGAACTGAATTGAACCTTAAAATATATTTTGTTTTGCAAGAAGTAGGATTTTAAAAAGAAAATCGCCAGTTTTAGCTGATACAACATGGTAGGTATTAAAGCATTCTCTATCGACAGGAAAAAAGATCTTTTTGGAAATTGCATAAAAATAAAAGAGAGAAAGAGAAAAATGGAAAGTTTGACATTTACTATTTTACCTCATATTATAATTATTAATAAGAGGTAAAAGAAAGAGAAGCACCAAAAAAGAAGAAGAATAAAGAAAAATAAGTTAAATACTATTTTGTTAAGTTGGTATGGATTTTGATCGAAGGTTAAAAACCTATGGATCTAAAAGGATAGAATGCTTTTTTTGTACTTACGTCAACTTTTTGAATAATATTATTATTACTACTAATTTATTTATTGATATACTGAAATTTATTTCAGTATGTTAATAAACAAATAATACTACCTTTTGTCCACAACTTTGTAAGCAGAAAAATCAAATAAACCACATTTCTTGATGTTGTATCAAGATAAAGTATTATATATACCACATTTTAAGTTACAGAAATGCAATTATTACAACATTGTAACATTGCGGCCAATTCCATGCTTTTGTTTTGTTTGTTATCGACATAAATATAAAGATAAATAGACAAACATTATATAAATAGACTTCCTGATATTAGAAAAAAGGCACGGACATATTCATACTCAAACGAAGGGATCAATGAATCATGATGAGTAAAATAATCATTATATTGTACAATTTTTATCACAATTTCACGATCAACGAGTTGTCACTCTCACTTGACATCCTCCCATTATTCAACAATGTGCCACTATGACCATTACGTTATTAAATATTTAATTTTGTCCGTGGCTACTACTATTTTCATATGAATAGAATACATTTAGAATCATACACATAGATGTAACTAGATGTAGCAACCGCTAGTATTACAAGTATAAATGTCTGGGTTTCAGCTCAAGATTTAGCGCGTTAAGAGCGTTATACTATAGTGCGGATGAGAGACCACTAAAATCTTATAATATTGTATAATTAATAAAAGTAAGTTATGGATTCAACACAACATGTAATCGTGTGTTTTCTTTTTGTTAATTTTGAAGAAACCTCACTCATTAAATATTTTTTTACCGTTAGAAATGCTAAAATTAAACTGTCACTTGCACCATGACACAATGCATAGAATATAAAGTAGACATAAAATTTCTTTTGTCTCATTTTAAACTTCGGTTAAATTTAAATTCCAAATTCCTATATGAAAGTTGCAAAAAGTTAGACAATAAAAGTAGTATTACAGAATGGTAATTTGAAAGATGCAAAAGGGTGGTTTGTTATCAATATTTACAGATTTTGTAATGTTGCTGTAAATAGTTTCGTAATGGCATTTAGTTTTCAGATAGATTGCGTCGTCTATGTTCATCCATGTCTATGTGTAAGACCTTGTCCGAAAGCTACATATACATACGTGCATACATCACGCTATATATGTTGTATACTTTCTATAGGGGTAGGCCATAAAAATATATTGGCAAATTTTTATCCTTCAATTCAAATAAACATTTTTCGCCTCCTCCTATGTTTATAACATATTCATAAAAACTTGGCCATTCTTAACTATATCACTTATTTAATAAATAAAAGACTTAAAAACATCTTATATAATTATTTACTTCTACTAGAAAGCTGAAATTTGAAAGGTGAGTTTATTTTAAAAAGTACCTAAATTAAGAGAACTTTTGGATAGTTCAACTAAAAGGGAAAAGGACACAATGGGTTCAAAGCCACGGGCAGCAGCTTGTAATTTTTGTTCCAGTTACCAGGAAGCAGACCTCTGCTATGTCTATATGTGTAGTTTATAACCTTATAAACAACACAGATAGTAACATTTCTATTACATGAAACTGTAATAAGCCTCTCACAGTGAGGCTGTAATACGAGTATAACAGATTACATGGTAAGAACAGTTTTTTTTTAAATAAAACAAAATTCATCATCATCATCATATCAGCCTTTAACTGTCCACTGCTGAAAATAAGACCCCTTTGGGGGGCCAGTAGTTTTCATGTTTTGCACTCGGATTGGCAACCGCAGTTAAGCTTTAGAGACGGACGCTGCTGTCCATCCCTCGCCCTTCCTTAATCGCCTCTTACGACACCCACGGGAAAGGAAGGAGTGACCTATTCCATGCCAGGGCCACTCAGCCATGACGAAAATTAATTCAGTAAAAATAAGTCATTGGAAGCAAAATATAGCTTATATATATTAAAAAT